TCCCCGACCACTGCAGTTGCGCTCTCCCTGCGACTCAGTCTCCCACTCCTCTCCCCGGCCGTGCACGAGCCTGCTACTCCCGGACCAGGGCTCTCCTATGTGCTAACTCCCTGCACGAGCTTTGCAGGCCGAGTCTTGTGAAGGGGGACATCCACGAGATCTTCCTTCAGACCCCCTGCCAGTCTCCCCCTCCTGGTAAACAGTGGCCAGTCACCCGGCCGCCGTGTGGGGCCACGTTCCCTACCTAGGGGGACCCCACTGTCCGGCAGGACAGAACTCAGGGACCACCAACCCAACTCCAACTTGAGAGTCTTGGTGCAGGTTTCTGGATCGCCCTTATCACCTTTAAAAAAATTTTTTTTTGAGACAGGATCTTGGTCTGTCGCCCAGGCTGGAGCGCAGTGGTGCGATCATTGTTCACAGCAGTCTCAATCTTCTGCGCTCAGGCCGTCTTCCTGCCTCAGCCCCCTGAGTACCCAGGACCACAAGCGTACGTTCAGTTAAGTTTTTTGTTTTTTGTTTTTAGTAGAGATAAGGTTTCACTGTTTTGCCCAGGCTGGTCTTGAACCTCTGGACTCAAGCAGTCCTCCCACTTTGGCTTCCCAAAGTGCTGGGATTACAGACGTGAGCCACTGCACCCAGCCCTTATCACCTTTAGAATCCACCGTGTAGACCCTGTAGAAGGTTCACATGGGCGAAACTGCACCTTTGGGGAAGGCCCACAGCCTGAGGGTGCTTTCCTGGGAGGGTGGGCAGTCAAGGACTGTGATGTCTAACCCTTCTGGACCCTGGCCAACCTTTGCCCTGCCCCTCAGGGCTAGTCTTTCTCCTGATCACTGACAGAGCCCAAGAGACCCCAAAGAGAAGACAGCCAGTGAAACAGCTTTGACCTTTGGAAGAGCAAAGTACCTGCAGGACTGGCCCTCAGCAGACTGTCCTGCAGAACAATGGTCTGTCAGGGCTGACAGTCTACCCAGTCCCCTGGTGTCCTCCTCTTCTCTCTGTGGTGGTGCTGTGAGCACAGCTAACACTTTAAGTCAGCTCTGTGGCCTCAGGCTCCCCCAGAGGCCCTCCCTGCTTGGAAACCCCTAATTAAGGTGCAGGGAGAAGTGAAAACAAGCAGCCAGAGACAGGCCCTGCCTGGGAGGCTTCCCGGGGGAGGAGGAATGGCTGGGCAGGCGGGGAGTGATCACCAAGGGTCAGTGCTCGGCCCCTGAGGCCATCAGCACTCTTAGGACAGGTAGCTCTAGACAGAAACATGACCACTGTGGGTCCCAAGAACACTCCCCTCCACTCGATAAGCGTCCAGACTGGAACTTCCCATCTCCCCTCATCTTCTCCGGATCCCCAGGGTGCAAGATCTGAATTCCAGGAGCTCACTCAGGCCCTCCTTTCTCAGGACACCACTGCCCAGCCTGTGGACAGCCTTAGCTCTGGCTGCAGCATCGAGTTTCAAGGGGAAAGGATTGACTCCAGCTGAGCAATGGCTTCTCCCTAGCAGGCGCCATATCCCTTGGGACCTTTCCCTCATCAGAGGTGGGGCCTGTGGATGGCAAAGGTCCTATCCTCTTGTAACATCACCCCGCATCCACTGTGCCTAATGAACTGCTCTGGCACGCATTAGGAAGCCAGATGATGCCTAGGAGAACTGGACGTGCAGAACAGATGTGAGACTGCTTCCTCAAGACCCCGTAGTGCAGGACATTGGGGGCTGCCATTCAGCTTGGGCCGAGGACACCTCCATCTGTCTGTGGGGGTCTCCCTGCCTGAGTTACTCAGCAGTCTGAGTAATTACTGCCTGACAAGAAGGCGGGCACAGCACACCCCCACATTACACCACAACACCCGCCTTCACTCATCCCCACCCCCTGGCTGGACTCCAAGGCAGCACCCAGCCCTCCTGAGGCCTGAAATAACTCTGCTTCTCACACTCACGCCCAGCCCCAGCCAACTTTTCCTAAGATGCTAGAGTTTGTGGGCTAGGGGGTCATGGGGAGGCGGCTTGGGGAGGTGGAAGGAGGATTATCCCACATTCAGTCCCTGAGTCAGGCCCACACTTTATCGCTGATCTGTGATGTGACGTTGAGCAAGTTGTTCATCCTCTCTGGACCTCGGTGTACTGCCAGAGGGCCTCTCAAGCCCCCAGTGTCAGGGCTCAGGCAGGCAGTGGGGTCAGCAGTGCCTTGCAGCTGGTGGTTAAGAGAAGGAATGCCTCACCTTCTGTTCCCACCCCAAGAAGGACCAATCTTTTTTCGTTGTTTTTAACTGCTCCTGTGGCCATGGGCAGTGTGCCCAGAGTAGCAGCCATCAATCTTTTTTTATCTTTAAACATTTTTTTGAAATAGATATGGAGTCTAACTGTATTGCCCAGGCTGCTCTCGAACTCCTGGCCTCAAGCAATCCTCCCACCCCAAGGCTTCCAAAATGGTGAGATTATAGGTATAAGCCCATGGTCCTCAGGAAGGACCAATCTTATTCATCTTCAGAACAAGGTTACTTCTCACCTTCAAGCATCTGCATGGAATGCCCTTCCCCCTTCTCAATGTGGTAAACTCAGCTCTCAAGACCTAACTCCAAGGGCACCTCTTCTGTGACTGTTTCCTGATTATCCCATAGTCCCTGGCAGAGCTAGCAGAGCCCTTTCTCAGTCTTTGTGACTTCTGTCAAACTCAAGATGGTTTGTGGGTCTTTCTTCTCCCATGACACCTGAAGCTTCTGGAAGCCCAAGCCCAGAGCCTTAGCTCAAATCGAAGCTTCAGTGCCACCAAATGCATGTATGAGTGAATACATCAGACTGGCCTTCTTTTTGTTTGTTTGTTTTGTTTTGTTTTTTTGAGACAGAGTCTCGCTCTGTTGCCCAGGCAGGAGTACAGTGGTGTGATCTTGGCTCACTGTAACTTCCATCTCCTGGGTTCAAGAGATTCTCCTATAGCCTCCCAAGTAACTGGAATTACAGGTGCGTGCCACCACACTTGGCTAATTTTTGTATTTTTAATAGAGACAGGGTTTCACCCCAGCCAAGCTGGTCTTGAACTCCTGACCTCAAGTGATCTGCTCAGTTCGGCCTCCCAAAGTGCTGGAATTACAGGTGTGAGCCACCGCGCCCAGCCTGACCTTTTTTTTCTTTTCTTTTTTTCTTTTTCTTTTTTTTTTTTTTTTGAGATAGTCTTGCTCTGTCACCCAGGCTGGAATGCAGTGGCACGATCTCAGCTCACTGCAACCTCCACCTCCGGGGTTCAAGCGATTCTCCTGACTCAGCCTCCTGAGTAGCTGGGATTACAGATGCATGCCACTATGCCCAGCTAATTTTTGTATTTTTAGTAGAGACTGGGTTTCACCATGCTGTCCAGGCTGGTCTCAAACTCCTGACCTCGTGATCAGCCAGCCTCCACCTCCCAAAGTGCTAGGATTACAGGCGTGAGCCACCGCGCCGGCCCTGACCTTCTTTTTGACCTTCCTATCATGTCACCTTTTCCTACAAGGAGGGATTCAGTTGAATTTCTGCTTGGATGTCACCTGCTCAGAGCAACTTTCCTTCACTGCCACCCCTACCCCTGTGTCAGCTCCAGAATAATACTCTGCTTGTTTTCTTCTAAGCACCATCTTCCCATCTTCTCTGGACTTTCCTCATTTGGTCCCTATTAAAATGGAAACTCGGCCGGGCGCGGTGGCTCACGTCTGTAATCTCAGCACTTTGGGAGGCCGAGGCGGGCGGATCACGAGGTCAGGGGATCGAGACCATCCTGGCTAACGCAGGGAAACCCCGTCTCTACTCAAAATACAAAAAACTAGCCGGGCGCGGTGGCGGGCGCCTGTAACCCCAGCTACTTGGGAGGCTGAGGCAGGAGAACGGCGTGAACCCGGGAGGCAGAGCTTGCAGTGAGCTGAGATCCAGCCACTGCACTCCAGCCTGGGCGACAGAGCGAGACTCCGTCTCAAAAAAAAAAAAAAAAAGGAAACTCCTTGAGGACAGGGCAAAGACAAGCCTTTTTCGTCTGCTGAACTTTTAGCCACAGTAGTGCCCCACACATGCTGAGCCTTCGGTGAATGTGTGTTGAATGAGAGCCTTGGTCCATCCACTTTTCCTTCCCTTCGAATCCCTCTGATCTCAGGCCAGCAGAGGGTGCCGCCTCCACCCAGGATCTCGCCTGGCCCGAACCTTCTCTTCTCTTCCCTCAGCCCAACAGGCCCCTGCGGGACCCGCTTTCCAAGGGGCGTCTCCTCTATTTTCCGCGAACTCCTGGAGGGGTCTGTGTGGACCAAGGGAGATCAGAGACCCTCCCCCACCCCACCCAGGCGGAGACAGCCCACCTGAGCCCGCATGGGTCCTTCCTTCTCCCTGGAATTTGCAATTGACCCTTCCCGAATGGCTTGCTCCTCTCCTCTCCCCACAAAAGAACGGTGTCCTGGGACTCGGGGTGCGGGGCAGCCGGTTTCGCTGGAGCTGTCCGGTGCGGGGAAGAGCCGTCGAGACTGGGAGAAGGGGCGCTGGGCAGGGAGCAGACGGGGCAGGGAGCTCACTCGCGATCCAGACTCTGGGCGGCGGTCCTCGCGTCCCAGCCGCCTCTCCGGATGACCTCCAGCCGCGAAGGGCGAGCGGGCGGGGGCTGGGCTGCGGGTTCGGGCTCCGGGAGGCCTGCGGGGCCTGGGAGGGGCGTGGAGTGGTCCGAGGACCGGCTTGGGGACTGGGGCAAGTGCCTGGACGGACGCCGGCCGAGGATCTTCCCCGGGGGCGGGTGCAGTGAAAACACCTTGGGAGGCGGCGCCGCGCGGCTGAGCGCTGCTGCCCTGGGAATAGGACGGCGCTCGGCACTGCGAGCTGAGAGCACTTTCATAAATTTTGTATGGGAGGCGCTCCGTGAGCGGGGGCGGGGAGCGGAGCGAGAGGGAGGGAGCTAGCGAGCAAAGGAGGGAGGGAGGAGGAGAGGAGGGGGAAGCCGGGGTGGGGGGGAGGAAGGGAGGCGCCCCGCTCCGCCGATCGCTCGGTCCTGCAAACGCGCGCCGGGCGCTTTCCCCGGAGCTCGGCGGTGCGTGCGAGCGCCCTTTTGCAGCAGCCGCGGCGGCGGTGGTCCGAGGGGGCGGAGAGGAGGGGGCTGCGACCGGCCGGCCAGGGGGCGGCGTCCCCCCTCAAAACCGCCTGCAAAGTGCTCCGGGTGGCAGAAGCAGGCCGCCGGCTCCGTGGAACAAGCCGCTCGCCCCGGGGCTGAGCAAGCGCGCGGGGCTGCCGGGCAGCACCACGGTTGCTTGCGGGCGCCGGTGTCCTCGGCGCGGGGCTGGAGCTCACCATGCCCCTGAGGGGCCGGGCCACCGGGCACGAGCGGATCCCCGGCTTGCCCCCGCCTCGACGCGCTCGGATTAGCTGCAGCTGGCGCCCAGGGATTTGAATCTGGACCCCGGGAGGGAGTGCGCCTAGGCCGACCTCGGAGCGGCGGCCCCGTGGCCAACATGCTTCGCAAAGGTGAGTTGGAGCCGCAGGGGCAAGTTGAAGTTGAATGCGCTCAGGAAAGAGCCGTGAGCCCGGGAGCCGCCCGGCGCTGGGGCTCCCGATCCGGGAAGTAGCCCCCGGCGGGCTGGTGGGTTTTGCCGGGCGCACCCGCCGAGGGGCTGCTGCTGGGGCTCAGCTCCCGTCGGTGGCCAGTTGTGAGACACGGGGTTTGCTCCGTGGATCGAGTGGCCAGGCCTAGAGATCAGGCCCGGAGGGGTCAGTCGGAGACCAGAGTGAGCAGCCGGTGGTGGAAGGGGAGCCGGCCTCCTGGGACCTTTGCTTTGCTGTGATAAAGTTTTGCACTTGCAGGCTCCATCCCCTGCGCGGGCACACGCCCTTGCTTCTGCCGCTTTGTGGAGGCCGAGTCCGCACGGCGCTCCTGTGCAGCCAGCGGTCAGTGACCGCGCGGCCCGGGCGCTCCCCGCGCGCCCTAGGTCCCCAGACGAGGCCCGGACGCGGACGTCTTCTCTGCAGTCCTGCTCTGATCCCCAGGGATGGGCTCTGGGCACCCAGCTGCTGAGGGTGGGGAGCAGCCAGCGCCTGATGTCCAGTTCCTCAAACTTTCCTTATGCTGGGAGTGCAGGGACGCGAAGGCCGTGCCGCCAGTGTGCGCGACCGGTGCCCAGCTCAACTTGAGGACAGCTGGCTTCGCGACCACCTTAGCTAGACGCCCCGGCAGTCCGGCCCAGTACCGAGCGCGGCAAAGTTGGTGCGGGCACCGGGGAAGTCCCGCCGCGCCCCCACGTGGTTGCCACGCTGGGCGCCGTTCCCCGGGCCCTGGGAGGGCAAGTGATCACGCCGGGAGCCCACGGGCCCCGCCACCAGCTGTTCCAGCCTCTGCGTCTGCCTCTCTCCCCTCCCAGGTCCGAGCGGGCTGTGGCGCCCCGCCGGGATCCCCCGCGCCTGGCCCGGCCGGGAGGCTGAGAAGCCGCGGGGCCTGCGGTTGGCTGCCCCGGCCCTGCGGGAGCCCGCTGAGGCGGGAGCTCAGGTAGCGGAGGGGCCTGATCCCTGCGCTCCGCGCTCCAGCCTTAATCCGCCCCTGTTTCCATGGCAACAGACCGAGGTGTCGTAAGCACAGGATTCTGACCTCACAGCAGGATGGGGAAGGAGAAAACGCGCACGGGGAGGGGGTGGAGGTGGGGGAGGTAGGGGAGGTGGGGGAGGGGGGGAAGCGAAGCCCTAAGATGGGCGGAGAGAAGCAGATGTGGAGGTGATGGCGGAGACCCAGATATAAGCAGGTCAGACAGGTGGGTGGAGGAACCACGCCTTTGGTGGGGCGGTAAAGGCCGTTTGGTGGTCGCAGCTTGGGCCGACCGAGGAAGCTGAGTTGCCCCGTCGTCTTGGAAGAGTCACAAACTTGTGTGTGACTTATGCCCTCCACGTGGGTCGGTGCAGTGCAGGGGGAAACGCTGGCTGTCTTGCTGTGGTGTGGAAGAGTCTCTGGGGCTAGTTGGAGAAACCGCTTCGCAGACACACCCCAGATCCTCCTTTTCCCTGCAGAAAGGCACAAAAAGTCCTTTCAGCAACCGAGCAGTGCTGGCCAAAGTGTCTTTGCACAGAGAAGGTGCTTTTTACAGAGCTGAGCACGAGCCCAGGTCTGAGAAACTTGGGCCTGGAGCATGCAAACTTGCCCCAGTCGGGAAGGCTTCCCGGGCACCTCTAAGAGGCCGCCATGTCTGGGCTGCTGGTCTGTGATAGGGATAATGGAGAGGAACTGACATCTCATTTCCCTTTTGGTCTTTTGTCTTTTGGCAGTTTATAGTTAAAAATGAGCCACCAAGCAGCCCACGCACTTTATTTATATGGTTTAGGTGCCCAAGGAGGCTCCAGCAGCCTCCAAGAGCCTTTCTCTCCCACCCTGGCTAGCCAGAGGCCCAGCTATGGATGAGCCCATTGCATTGTGGAGGCGGCTCCCGTGGGGGAGCCTCCTTACCCTGCACAAGAGGTGGCCACTGGAGGCTTAGCAGTCACGTGTGTTTGCTACTCAGGCTGTTTTTTCCTTCCTGCACAGCCTGGTTGGCTGAAGAGGTTCCACCGATAGGTTTCCACCTGAATTGGCCCAAAGGAAGCAGAGAAGAGAAGCCCTTCACTAGGCTGGGCTCAGCCTGGGGACCTGGAGACTGCCCCTAGGACACTGTGTGGACAGAGGACTTGTGTTGGTTCTTTCCTGGGCAGGCAGTTTTCTCTCTTGGCCCCAGATCCTGATCCTTTGGATTTGTTTCTTCTGCACACCTGTATAGGACACTCAGATTCTCTGTATGGATTCTAGGTAGGCGCCCAAAGCCAAAAGCATGCCTGAGGCTAATGCCCAGGGAGGTGGCCATTCAAGTGTCTGCTTCTAGAATTGTTCCCAAAGTCTCCAAGCAAAAATGGCCAGGTGCAGTGGCTCATGGCTATAATACCAGCATTTTGGGAGGCCAAGGTAGAAGGATCACTTGAGACCAGGAGTTCGAGGCCAGCCTGGGCAACAGAGTGAGACTCCGTCTCTACAAAAAAAAAAAAAATTTTTTTTTTTTTTTGAGACGGAGTCTCACTGTGTTGCCCAGGCTGGAGTGCAGTGGTGCAATCTCAGCTAACTGCAACCTCTGCCTCCCAGATTCAAGCAATTCTCCTGCCTCAGCCTCCCAAGTAGCTAGGACTACAGGTGCACGCCACCATGCTTGACTCATTTTTTGTATTTTTAGTAGAGATGGGGTTTTGCCATGTTGGCCAGGCTGGTCTCAAACTCCTGGTCTCAAGTGATCCACCCACTTCTGCCTCCCGAAGTGCTGGGATTACAGGTGTGAGTCACTGCACCTGGCCAAAATTTTTAAAAATTATCCAGGTGCAGTGGCATATGCTGGTAGTCCCAGCTACTTGGGAGGCTGAGATGGGAGGATCACTTGAGTTGAGAGGTAGCGGCTGCAGTGGGCCGAGATTGTGCTACTGCCCTGCAGCCTGCGGGACAAAGCCAGGCGCTATTTAAAAAAAAAAAAAAAACAGACTGGGCACGGTGGCTCACACCTGTAATCCCAGCACTTTGGGAGGCCAAGTTGGGAGGATCACTTGAGGTCAGGAGTTCAAGACCAGCCTGACCAACATGGTGAAACCCCAACTCTACTAAAAATACAAAAATTAGCCAGTCGTGCTGGCACATGCCTGTTATCCCAGCTTCTTGGGAAGCTGAGGCAGGAGAATCACTTGAACTCGGGAGGCGGAGGTTGCATTGAGCCGAGATTGCGCCACTGCACTCCAGCCCGGGAAAACATGCAAGACTCCATCAAAAAAAAAAAAAAAAAAAAAAAAAGATATAGGAAGTGTTTAGACAGATCTTGCTATTTTCTTGCCTATAATATGCAGAGCCCTATGTGGGGTCCTGGACCTGAGGGAGTGTAATAATTTAATTATGATTCTGAAAAGGGTTTGAAAGATGAAGAAAGAGTAGCCTTCCCTAGATCCTGTGGGGAGGGGGGAAGAGAAGAAAACCCTTATCTTTCTGCAAAGGGCAGGGCTCATGGTCTTGATAACGGGGTGCCCTGCGCAGTGAGGAGTCCAGTGGTATGAAGCCCCAGAGGAGGAGGAAGGCAGGAGCAGACCTTGGGCCATGAGGATCATCTTTCTGATTGCTGGTTGTCCTAGTAAAGCTGTCCCTTGGCACGACATTTTGGGAGGACTGGGGGGACTGCCTTGCGTCTCTTAATGAAAGGACTACTGGCCGCAGCCCCACCTCTGTGAACTAGAACAGCCCCAGTGGGAGAAAGCTGCTGATAGTCCTGGTAGCTGAAGGCTTCAGCAGCTGCCCTCCCTGATTCTCCATCTCGTGGCCTAGCCGGCAAAACCAGGGATATTAAAAGCAAGCCTCTGGTTGAGAGGTGAGAGGCAGGAGGGCAAGCGAGGCCCCGAGCCACCTGGCAACATCCAGGAAGGAAGGGCGGCCTGTTGGGGGGTTTGCTTTGCCAGAAGTGGCCTACTTAAGGTCAGGACCCATGGTTTTCATGTGTAGAGCTATAAAAACAGAATGCAAATCAAGAACCTCTGGGCTAATACAGAACCTTTCCTTAAAGTTTTTGTCTTGTTAAGCAACAAAATAGAGTGCCAAATAGGCTTTGTTAAGTGGCAGTCTAATTAATAATTTAAAATCTTGTAACTGTCTTTCATTAGAATTTATCTGTACATCAACCACAAAATCAGTCAAACACACTCATTTATAAGTTAATGCCATCCCTGAATAATTCAGCAAGAGCTAGATTAAGGCCTACAACCCAGCAAGATGCATTTGGTTCCGTTGGTCTCCATGGGCAGATGGGCTGGGCTGGTGGCAGATTTGGGCTTCTTTTTTGTGGAAAGAAGGGAAGGCAAAGGGAAGGAGGGACCGTGGTGACGTCAGACGGTTGCTTGACTTGAATCCAGAGCTCCTCTAGGTGTTTGGAGAGTCTTCATGTGGCCAGATGTGGGCAGGCTACATCTTTGCTTCTCTCTGGGGGCAACCAAGACTTGGAGCTATTAGTAATATAGCTGCCCTTAGCCCCAGTGGCGAGGGGGAGAGAAGAGTGTTCCGTGGACGGCCAAGACACTCTTTTCTGTGCAGAGGAAATATAGAGGGGAGATACAAGAGCCCTTATCAAGCTGTGAGACTTTTTAGCCCAAATCCAGGTGCGGAAGTCAGATTTCGGTCTTCCCAGCCCATTTCTGTCCCAATCAAGGCAGGTAGCCTGGTGGAACCAATCTCACCAAAACAGCTTCTTTCCTTAGGAGCTTCTGGGCTGCTGCTCTCCTCAAAGCTCTGGGTCCTTATGCCAGAAAAAAAGAAGCCAAGAGGAGAGATTTTAGGGGAGCACCCTGACAGAGAGAAGAGGCAGAGCGAGTTGCTAAGTAAAGCCCATGCATGCATTTTCTCACCAGTAGCCAGAATAACAGCAAGGACAGCAGAGCGATGTTCCTGTGAGCTCAGACAACATAGAAAAAGTGTTTTGGTTCAGTTCCCACCACGCCAG